AGATGACCTTTTTTGTTTTTTTTTGCAAGATGATGGGACGAAGGGACTCGTGTTGTAAAATAAACTTGTTTAGGCACTGCTCGCTAGTCCTTAATTACTTTAATTACTATTTAGTGCTAAAGATATTAATATTAAGTCATTTTACATTTATTAAAATTAATTATTAAATTAAAATTTCTGATTTGTTTGTATTTTTTGCCATTTATTTCTGAAAGAGCAACCGCAGATTGCTGCTAGTTCTGAATGTTTCCGCCTGTGTGCGCTTTTGCCTGATGTCTTTTTCAAATTTGATTTGCAATTAAGGCAGTAATTTAGCTTTAACCGATATTAAGTGTTGGCCTTCCACTTAAACCGTCTGCCAACTTTGCCAACTTTCGCCAGCGGATGGAGGCCTGGATGGGTCTTCATTAAAACGGATTCGTGTTGCTGGTGTTGCAGATGTTGCTGCTGTTGCTGATGTTGCTGCTGTTGCTGATGTTGCAGGGGCAGCAGCTGTTGCTGCGGGGTGAAAGGTGAGGGGCTTAGTAGCTGAGTACTCTTGCAACTGGCAAATGGCATTATTTTTGTTTGACAAGTCAAAGCGACGCGACATCGCGACTACTGCGACGACGGCCGCAAGAGCAAGAGCTCTTCAAAGTTGTCAGAGCATACTTCTAGGCGCGCCCAAGTGCGTGTGTGCCGCCCACTGGAACACCCCTTAGATCCCCCTCAGAAACCCCCTTGAAAGAGCCCCCTTCGCCCATGTGTTTTAGTCATTCGGATGCCGGACTAACGAGTCTCAGCCGGAGGCAACCAAAAAACTAGAAGGAACTGCCGAAAAATTCTCGAGCTCTAAGTATCCCTAAAACTTTTTGTGAGAATTATATATTAATTATATTATATTATAACGTATATTTATTTTTTAAATGTTTTGTACAATTAAAGTAACATGTTTATGATATAAAACCATATACTATATTTATTACATATTACTATTATTATCCCAATATGATCTCTTATTAAAAGTGTAAAATCTTATAAGGTTTAGTTGAACTAAATTCGAAAAGGACAAGTACTTAGCCGCTTTTCTTAATTGCTGATATATTCTTCAAGGCAAAAATAAACAAAATATGGTATCAGTTATGTAAATACTTTCTAAAAGATCACAAAAACTTGTTTTTTTCAAACTCAAGGCCCCCTGTCATCCACTTGCAACTTCAGTAAACGATTTTCCGCTTCTTAAACTCTCTTCGGGGTTTTTCTCTTAAGTGGCATTCACCACAGGAAAAGCGCTGCGCAAACTCACCACAGTCCCGAAAATAAGAGGCAAACTAATAAGCCACCGAACCGAACCCAATGAGCCAAGCCAACGAGCCAACTCAGGCTCCCATTGACATTTTCACCTACTTTCGACCTGTCGCTTTCCCTTGGCTGAAAAGCGAGCCGAATGCACTGTGGCAGCTTGACCAAGTCCCAGTTGCCTCGTTTACCCATTTCCCCCAATTTCCTCCATGAATTTTCCAAATCAGCTGGCCAAAAAAAGAAAAGCCAAGTCCTCCAAGACAAGTCTCCTTCGAAGGAAAATGCCAATGTTTCGGTCTCGGTTTTTGGGTCGAGCAACAAATTTAATTACAGCCCTGGAAAAGTGCCCTGAAATCGCTTAAGAAATTAACGAGCGAGTAGTTAATGATTCCACTGTATCCGCTTTTTCGGGGTTTTCTTCTATTTTTGTGGTTAGAGGAGAATAAAGTTACATTGAAATACGAGAGGAGTCTGCAAATGGCGCATAAACAGCAAATCGAATGCGATGTTAGTGCCCTAAAATGCGACAGGGGTATTTAAATATGATATGAGAATATCTTAGATATTTAAGAAATTATTATTTTTACTTAAAAATCCCATTCATTATACCTACCTTTTAATACTTACTTAATATTTAAAAACAAATTCAAGGAAAAATTATAATATTATCACTAATTATTAAAAATATGGTTTAAAAAAATAAATATGGAGTGTTCAAGCTCTAGAAACATGGTGAGGTCTATTAACCCATAAGAATCAATAAGAATATGATTTAATAAAACACCTAAATGGATTTATTTTTGAGAGATAGGTAAGTGACTGGTATTTTTTTTAAGAAAGTTTATTTTATTATAATAATATATAATAATAAGGAGCTAAGAATGTTTAAAGATCTAAAATAATTAGGTAAGGAGTAGCACTTCTACAAGGTCCAGATTTTAAGGGTAATCATACTTATCAACCGACTTATTCACTTCCTGCCTCAAACACCTAAGTAAGATACACGGATGACATCCTTTGGATTGTCCCCATTGTCCTTCCTGCATGTCTGTGTGTGTGTGTGTGTGTGGGGGGGGGGGGCTGTCTATTAGCCGCTCTCATTCATTGAAGATTCGCTGAGCGATTGGCGACGTGTAAACGATAATCAAGTAATTTCCATTATGCCAGGACATGGACCAGCGAAATGGTCACCCAGTGGGGAAATGGGGAAATGTGGAAATGGTCCAAAAAGGGGGTGGGGGGTTAGGGGTGTTAAGGGGGCGCCCGATAAAAGCCTCACTAAATTGCGATTGTCGCGAGTCTGTATGTGTGTGTGTGTATTGGTGGCAGGAGATACAAAATACATTACGCATACGCCCCGTGGCCCAAACAAAAGCAAATCCAATTGCCAATTGTTGCGATAAAGCAAGCCAAAGCAAAGTCAAAGGAAATGTCGATGCTTCCCAAACCCCCCCCCCCTCCCCTCTTCTTGTTGTTGTTGTGGTTCTCCTTGTTGCTGTTGTTGTTGCTTTTCCACTATTTATTGGCAGTGGCATTTCATTGTCCTTGTCGCTGGTGGCTTGGCTTTTAGACAACTTTCTTTGCCATTCCGCACTCCCATTCCCCGTTTTTTGTGCTTTTAAGGCGCACGCGATAATGGCCAATGATGCATGTGTATTGGTGCTGGTGAGCCAGTGTGTGTGTGTGTGTGTGTGTGTGTCAGCACTTTGCGACAACAATGCCATGCCCACCGCCCTTCTGCACTCACCCACTCACCCACACACCCACACTTCTTCATATAATGGCAACGGCGACGGAAACGGAAGCAACATACTTAGACGCTGACTGAACAGGCCAAAGAGAAAGCGAAAGAGACGGCTGCTGAGTGTGCGAAAGAGATAGAGTGAGAGAAGGGGAGGCAATTCGGAAAATCCAACTGCATGGCCAGCGTAATTGCAAATGCACTAGGAAATTTCGCCACAGACAACTTATTTAAATTCAAAATGCAATTTATAGTAATATAATAGCCTCAATGAAAGTGCAGTGTTTATAGTTAAATATATTCCAAACACCACTTAAACATTATATGTTATAGAAGACCAATTTACATACAAGGTCCCTAACTATCTTGAACTCTGATATTCATAAAAGGTGTTATGTTTTTTTAAGAAATAATAGTTGTATTAAGTTTTTAAAATAAAAATAAGTTAAACAAATTCATTAAATATATATAATAAATGTGGTTAGCTTAAATAATTGCCAAAATAACTATTATATCAATGAAAAAAAAACATTTCTCTTAAATAAATACTTACAAATAAATAGTAGATATAATATTATATCGATTTTGTGACACTTTCACTGTAACTATTTAATATTGAAGAACACTGATACCAGTTTTATGGATCCAAAAAAAATATATTAAAAGTAATAAGCTTACCATAATTTTCTCGCCGTGTAAGACTGCGCTATAAAAACGCAACAAGCGAAATGAAATGAAGCGAAACGGTCAGCGCGGATTATGATAAGCGTTAAAAGTTCGTTGTCCTTGCGTTTTTGCGCGTGAGTGTTAACAGTTAATTGTTTTGCGTGCGTGTCACATTGTCTGCATATGTCCCATATCTACCATTTCGACCGGCCCTCTTTTGGGGGCCCCCAAATTGTGTCATTAGCAATGGCATAAAAGGCCAAAATGGCCCGAACAGCTCATTGGCACGTTCCAAATGCTCGAAAAACTCGAAAAACTCGCCATGAAGATGATCACCCATTATTTCTTACAGCTGAAGTTTTATTTGCCCGGCTTCACATCCACACATAAAGTAAACTTGGCCGCGTTTATAACCGCAGAATAAAAGTTAAAAATTTATAAATCGCTGTGGTAAAATCTTGGGAACCCCTGGGCAATTGCTGATATGACAGTTTTCCCGTCCCCCCGCCATTTCCTCGTTTTTTTTGAGCTGTTTACATTTGCTGTTGCGTTGTTGCAACTTAAATTTTCCGCTTTTTGATGTGCCAATTTTATGCCCAAAAAATAAAAAAAAGGAAAAATTCAGAAAGGGGCAGGGAAATACAAATATATATATATATGGATTTATATGTACGTATATAAAAAACTTGCGCCGAGCGGCAGCGAAACTAAATAAATAAATGTGCGCAGACACCCACGCACACTCATGCATGCAAGTTTTATTTAAGAGTGCAAAAAGTAAAGCAATAAACACGCACACACACACACACACTAACACACACACGGGGGCAACGGGGCGTATGTGTGTTATGCATGGAAATAAAAGTTTTCCATAATTTTGTATAAGAAAAGTTTTCTTGCGTTGTGTTGCAAGTGCTTCCTGCCCATTTTTTTTTGCCAACCTCCTTTTTTTTTGGATTTTTTCCCTTTTTTTTGTTAGGGAGGAGGAAAAACTGCTGGTGGTCTAGGCCCAAAGTGGCTACAAAACTTTTACGCTGCTTGTGAATTAATTAAAAGATGAACTGGGCTGGCCAACAAAAGACAAAATAAAAATATATAAAAATGGTTGAGATACCCAAGATAAAACTAAGGGGTGGCACAAGAAGTTTAGTCGGTGTAACACAAAGCGGCAGTGTCTTTGGGGTTAACTGCTGATGGGCTCTGTGACCTTTAACCAGAGCCCTATTTTATGGGACCTTTCACTAAACTGCATTAAAGCAAGTCAAGTTGTGCGAACTAAAAATAAGATGGAGGTGGAATTTTCTGCTGGTAGTATATATTAGCCAGCTATGTTCATATTAAATATATTCATTAATTGGCAATTATTAAATTTAAGCACTTAAGGCATCTGGCTTAGGCTGGCGAGCTTGCGCAGACTACGCTCAAGGTACAAAGGATGGGTCTTGGTGCGAACAACCATCTCCTCAAAGGTCATGATCTCCACGTATTCCTCCTTGTCTGGAAACTGTGAAAAATGGAATATATAACTATTATGATATAGGATCTTTACATTCCCTTTTTAGCTCACCTCATTATCTTTATTGGCCTTGACGCATAAGTTCTTGAAAGCTTGATTCATGCCTTTCTTCACTGGAAAACGCTCATTGGCCAAAACATGAATGGTCTGGGTCAAAACCGTTGGCGAGACCTTGGTCAAATTGAGAAGTTCCTCGAAGGTCAACAGCTCCTCCTTCTCCATTTCCGCTTTAATGCGAGTGTAGTGTTCCTTTACTGAGTTGTTCATTATGCTCGTTTTCTTATTTTTAATAACTCCGATAAGGTGTTGTCGGCTTGACCTGCTAGAGGTTTTGATAGGAAGATTTAAAATAGGATTTGATATCATTTTCCAGGCCTGCTAACAACAATCAGTTGGGAATATGTGATCCAAATATATTTATTGCACAGTAGGCTCTTGTTTTTAACTTCCAGTTGATTTTAAACATAGTAGGCAATTGCTTTTAACTTCCTGCTTATTTTCCGGCATCAGTTCATTCGTCTTCGCGCAGTCAAGTCGTCTAGTCGTTCGCTAAGAGCATTATAATACAACTTTTTCAAACTCAAATTTTTCCTAAAATTTCGATATGATTCAAATAATTATCTTCTTGGCCGGGCCCGTCCTGACGGCTTTTGTCTACTTTTTCATCAATCTGACTTCGTTGATCAACAAGAGCCGCGAGTTTAACCGGATCACCGAGGTCCTGGTCCTGGAGCAGCGAATCGAGAACGTGGTGGAAGCTGGCCTGGAGGAGAACCCCGACGACGAGGAGCTGGCAACCATGGGGGCCAATCTGATTGCCAACTACCGTTTGGACGTGATGAACCAGTTTAAGAAGGAGGCCGGGGCGATTCGGTGTTCCAATAGCGTTACCCATTAATCTGATCTATCTGATGTATCTAGAAGTTGCTGGAAAGTGTAGCTGGAGGCCCAGGACCCGATTCCTTAGGTAGCATCCGCCCATCCGGCTCTTCACATAAAAATTAATTAAAATAAAAATAAATCAAAAGCAACAATTTATCTCATTGTTTTCCTATAGCACATTGGTTATAGCCCCTTAGATATTTAAGAAAAAGGAGTTTAAGCAGTGTAGGTAAAATATAAAAGGTATTGCCAAGGTCCAAATATCATAAAAATTACAAGTCATGGTTATGCAAAGCATACTTAGTTCACCGTATATGGGATAGCTTATATTTCAAATTTAATTACTTATTATTACAAAGTAAATATTTCTATGCAACTTGGCTTCTAAAAAGAAAATCGTAGAGTCTGTCTGAAACCCTAATTTCTGAAGATTTTGTTCAAGGTCGTTGCATAGTCAGTGGTACCACGGCCCTCCGCTAGGTGGCCCGAAAGTGTGTGCTTCGCTAATAGAATTGATCTGGAATTTCATAATACATTTTTATTATAATTTATAATTGAAATTTGGGACAGAGCAACGACTACTTTGATCTAAAACGTGTATTTTAAGTCGTTCAAAATAGAAAACAATCACAGTAACACAGACCCTTCGTTCAAAGGGAAATTTAAGCTGGTCGAGCTGAGGCCAACATACCTTCAGTTTGTATTCGACTTTCACATTGTAAAGACATAGTATCGTTAGAGTAAAAATTAAATTTTCGGTTTTCAACAATTTTGGAGCCTTATTTTACCAGGCGTTTTTCTACTTCACACAAGTAATTCTATATAAAAAACTAAATACAATTTGTTTCATTAACTTACTTATTTTAACATTACCACACCTTTTCAATAATACAATCTCTTCTTTTTTCCATCTACATTTTTTTAAAAATTATTTTACTTATTTTTTATAATAGCTAACATGAACTATTCGGAAACTATGGATGATAAAAGAACCCTAAGGGAGATAATGGAAGAATCCTTGGTAAGAAATCTTAATAAATACTGTTATTGTTAATAACGCCAGATTCCACAGACCCCAGAAAATAGGCATGTTACTCGCACAAGGACGGTGGTAAAGAGTGCTAAGCTTCAAAGGATGACCACCAGACCAAGCCCAGGGGCTTCCAGGTACAAGCAAAGCATTGCCCATCTGAAGGCAAGCTCTCTTTCAAAGAAGAGGTGTTTACAGTACAAGGGAAAATATGAACCGAAGCAAGCCGAAGACCAGTGGGCCAATACCCCGTGGTTCCAGGGGGCCCAATCCCAGGAAGCGGTTCCCCCAACCGAAGATGCGAAAACCCTCCAGTGGGCTTTTAACCAACCCGCGGTACCCCAAACGCAGCACTCGTGGTTCCAAGGGGCCCAAACTCAAGGCGCAGCTCCCCAACACTCGTTATTCCATGTGGCCCATAATCAACCCCGAACCGAAGACTCATCGTTCCAAGAGGCCCCTTGCCAACCCGCGGTACCCCAAACGCAACAGTCGTGGTTCCAGGGGGCCCAAACTCAAGGCGCAGCTCCCCAACACTCGTTATTCCATGTGGCCCATAATCAACCCCGAACCGAAGACTCATCGTTCCAAGAGGCCCCTTGCCAACCCGCGGTACCCCAAACGCAACAGTCGTGGTTCCAGGGGGCCCAATCCCAGGAAGCGGTTCCCCCAACCGAAGATGCGAAGACCTTCCAGTGGGCTTTTAACCAACCCGCGGTACCCCAAATGCAACACTCGTGGTTCCAAGGAGTCCAAACCCAAGCCGCGGTACCTCCAACCCAAGACTCGGTACCGCAACGCCAACATTCGTGGTTCCAGGGGGCCCATAATCAACCCGAGGCTCCCCGAACCGTAGACTCGTGGTTCCAAAAGGACCAAACCCAAGAGGCTGTACCCCAAGCGCAAGTCCCGTGGTTCCAAGGGGCCCATTCCCAAGGTGCGGCTCCTACACCCCAAAACTCGTTCCAAGTGGCCCATATTCAACCTGCGGGGCCCCGATCTCTGCACTCTTGGTACCAAGGGTTCCCCGAACCCTAGACGAGTAGCTCCAAGGGGCCCAGTACTAACCAGAGGTTCCCGAAGCCCAAGATGCGTGCTTCCATGGATGCCATAACCAACCTATCAAGTGATCCAATCCCATTCCAAAGGGTCGTGAGAGCACTAATGTTATAAATTAACTAATGTATATAGTAGTATTATGGTTTATTAAATAACAAAATTTCCCACATAATGCCTTATAAATTTCCCTATTTTGACCCCTTTGAAATCCGCTGAAAATCGGCTTACTGTAAAGGCTTTGGTTGACTTTTTCGTGGCCGACAGGCAACGTGTGGCTAAATCCAATACGGCCGAAAGGGGTCCAAAGGGGGTGCCTTAGGGGGGTGGCGGTGGTGTAGTATGCAAATGCGGTCCTGCAAGAGAGCAACACAAATGCAATTTGTATAATTGACTGTGACTGTGACTGCTTTTCTGCTGCCTCGGCTGCCTAGGCGCCTTTTCGATTTGGATAGTATTTGGGTTGGTATATGTTTAAACAATTTGTGTGGCCATGTTCGGTGACTCCCCCTCAACCCCTCACCCGTCCAGCTTTTTCAGACCCATTGTATGTGCATGTGTCCTGCATTTTAGTTTCGTCTGCCACGTGCGGTTTTTAGTTTCAGCCTGGTTTTTGGCCAAGTGGGATTGCCAAGCAGTGGGTGGCTGGTATTTTGGTATTTTCCTCCTTCAGTGTTGCCGGGTTTTGGAATTTGTTTGCGGTTAAATGCAATTAAAAAGAGATTTACAAGCAGCTCGCCTCACAAAAGTGTCGCAACAGTAGCTCACCGAGCCAAAAATGGAGAGAAAAGCTGTACGAAAGAGATGGCGACAACCCTGGAACACAGAGTTGGAGAGAGACGGCCATATGGGCGTAGAAAGAGACAGAACGCTTGCAGGCTTGACAAATGTTGGCCAGCATTTAAATGCGAGCATTTTTGCGTACCCACTGTTGGCATTATGTGCATTATGTTTGCCTTCACTTGAAATAACTGAAAACCTCCTTCATACGACGGCACTTCATATGCCGCCCTCTGGCTTTCGATTTTCGGTTTACATTGGCTTAGTTCTCTGGCCAAATTCAGATGCCCAGTTGATTTTTTGGGCCAAATAAGACCAAGGAATTTGCGATTTTACTCTGAGTTTGCCAGTTTATTCCTTTATTATTAGTTCAAATGCAGGAGTGTTTGATTTCTTATTTATGGCTGAGCAGCCGAAAGGTTTTTGGGTTATTAAAACTCATTGATTTGGGTTTCAGGTGACGGAAAACTCAAAGTTGAGTAAAGCACTTTGTTCGTTAGAAATGGAAAATCAAGCTAGGTAATGCAAATCAGGTTAATCAAAGCAAAGGATTGCTTTCATAAAATACTTTCTACACAAAGAAATTTATGAACATAAAACGGAAAAATCAAGTACTAAGGAAATCTTGAATTAATATTCGATCTAATTGGTCATAAGTGAACGACTCTTATTTCCATGGATATACCTGAATGACGGAAGGCATTGAAATGAGCCTGCAAATTGGCTCGTTTGGATTGCGCCAACACAATTCCCATTAAAATTGACTTCGAGTAATTTACATAGCAATTAATAAATGCCATTACAGCCCAGCAGGCAGCCGGGAAACTGACGCAGCAGGCGATTTTCCTGCGGGGAAAATGGGATCGAGGTCCTGTCCTTTGGGGACGGGGGCTTCCAAGGACGAGGTGAAGTCCTGCGAAAAGATGAAGAAATGAGGGGAGCACGGAAAAAAAGGTGCATGTAAATATTTGAGAAAAGCACAAAAGCCAAAAGGGACAACAATGCGATGTAATGAAATGAAATGACAAGCGCCTCAAAGGACCACGAACGGAGACGGGGCCAAAAAGGATCAGCAGGAGGATATATCGTATAAATTATAAATGCAAACAATAAAGTATTTCCTTTCTTGTCAGCCAAGAAGACGAAAATTAAAAAATATGTTTGCATCTACAGCTGTAAGGAAAATAATAGCAGTGGGGGGAAAACATTTCGCAAAGTTGGCCAATGAAAAGAAAAATACTACAACAAGTTGCATATTGTGTAAGTGATAATACAAATTCATAGCTTGTATTTTGGTAAGAATAACATAACAAACATTAAATCATTTTAAAATGTGTCTGAAAGTATGCTGTTAAAAAGCGATTAAAAATTATTGATGCATACTTTTCGACACCTACAAAAAAAAACTTATATAAACTGGTCACTTTGAACATTTTATAATGAATCAAGTTTATAAAACCTGGGAAAATATTAAATTAAATTTCCTTTTTAATTTTTTGCTGGCAACTGTAGTTGAATACAAAGAGCTTTGGTGCAGGGCTTTCATCTGCCAGATACAAAGATAGATTTGACTGAGAGCTGCCAATTAATGCGAATGCTTCTCTGTGGGAGTCAAGGACGTGATGTGACTCCTTTTGCAGCCCGGCCACTTTGTTTGGTTTCGGCATTTTTTTGTTGCAAATTTTCCAAATTACATTTGAAATTTTGCATTTCTGCTTTTCTGCATCTCAGTCTCCACAGTTCTCTGCACTGTTGTTTGGGCTTAGAGCAAAAATATTTGTATATAAATATTTGCCATGCTTTGTTCGTTTTCTTTTAACGATTTCAAGCATTCCTCCCATTCGGTTCTTGTCGCTCCTTAAATATATTTCCATGTTTGCCCTGGCTGATTGTAATGCAATTTGTATGCATTGTGCATGGACAAACAGGGGGAACCCCCGGCAAAAGTCGGGCAATCTGGCAACCCTTTCGGGACTTGCAACCAGCCACTGCAACAGAAATTGCAGTTGCAGCTGCAACATGCTGCCGCCACTGGTAAAAAATTATGTCAGGTCGCAAATTATTTGCACAATGGAAATTAGTTCCAGTTTTTGTCTTGCCCGCAATGCATACAAATGTCCAGGCGACATTCTCAGGCATGTCTTTTGGCTCAAAGAAAATGTTCGGTGAAAAAAAATAAGGAAAATTCCCCATTTTGAACCAACAATTAAATGTCAGGAGCAAAAAAAGGGGGTGTTGCGTGTCCTGCGAAACAATTGCAAATCAAAATATTGCACTTGCAGCCAATTGAGCGGACCAAGCATCAAAGCAGCAGCATCAGCAGCAAAACAAATCGTGCGAAAGGAAGCTGGAAAGGCAAACCCAAAGGGAAAACTGCAAAAAAAAGGAGGAAAATACATAAAAAATACATGGGGGTTTAGCTTAAAGCAACGAAGGCTTAAATACCCTGCTTTAAAGCAATATAAACAAAGTTAAAAGTTAAAGTTTTAAAATCTCTTATAAAAGTGTCTAAAAGTATGCAACATTTTTTAAAAAGACTAGAAGTTTGTTTATGGGATGTGCTATACACATACAATTCATTTTAAGTCCATTTAGGTGTCTAAAAGTATGCAGTGAATTAAGAATACTAATCTGTCTGAGTTAAAAATATATTGTTGCCTACTTTTAGGCACCTAAAAATACACTTTGAAGAGATTTCAATTTTTAATTTTTTGTAAAAAAAACCGATCCTGGGTCATATCAAGCAAACGTTTCGTGAGGGTATGCGAAACACAAGGCAAATATCCCCCTCGATGTCTTTACCAATGCAACTCGTAGTGAAAAAAGGACAGACTCACTTGTCCGGCAGTTGGCTTTAAAAATGACAACGGACTCGGACTTGGATTCGGAATCGGAGTCGTACACATACTCGAACTTCTACTTGGAACCGGTATACATACTCGTATGTGGGAATCGTACCGGGTTAGCGGCCATAAGCAGATCCCGCATCACAGACCAGCTGAAAGTGAGCGCATTTGGCCTTTTGTTTCAGGGATTTGAGTTTTTAGTTTTTTTCGATGGAGGATTTGGGGGGGCGCTTTGATCCCGGCATTCATTTCAGACCATTGAAGAAAACGTCAGCACAATCGCTCTGAATGGAAACCCATGTGCAATTGACTCGCATCTCATCGAAGGGCCCCCGCCCTTCGTTTTTTTATTTCCATCTCCTGCCAAGTGTGTCATTGCGAATGTCATACAAATTGTGGAATGCCTTCAGTGTCAGAGTCTCTGGTTTCCACTGCCAAAAGGGGGGGCTCTGCAAGGGGGCTCCTCGAGGGGGCTCCTGCATGCCAATGAATGGCGCAAAAGAGGGCAATGAACAATTCAGCTTGCACTTTGACACCAATATACCAAAGCGACCGGGGAAATGACGTGGCTTAATAAACGGAAACGAAGTGGGGTTTTGTATATATTTTACTTTTTAATCAAAACTAAGATGTACAAAGTGCAAGGCACTCAAAAAAAAAATAAAGCCATTGGCTTTTCTTATAACAAAAGATTAAGATTTTATATATTTTTAATAAATACTAAGACCTAGAAGTATTTAATAATTAATATAGACCGTAAACTGCGTAATGTCCCTAATGGTTGTGACAAGCAATAGCACCAAGATCGCGACCTCTAGATAATCTAGCTAATGCTATCGTTAACCCAAGGATTGAAGTTCCTGCCCCCAAGCTAAAGTCGCAACTTGCTGTTGATATTTCTCTCCTTTTTATATTTTAGCCACACACAAGCACACACAGCATGTAACTAAATAATCTTTGTGTAAAGTTTTTCTTTGTGGCTCCGAGCGGGAACAAGAAAAAAAAAAGAAAGGAAGTTCCCGGAGCTTAGGAGACCGCCAGCTGCGAAGGAGTCTGATCCCGCCGATTGCCTGAGGGAAAAGGACAACGAGCCAGTAGAATCAGTTGGCCATAAGCCACCGAAAGCTGCGTGACAAGAGCTGGAGGATGAAAAGATGTGTGGATGGGGCAGTGCACCGGGGTTAACCTGAAAGACTAAAAAAATTTCATAAAGAATAGGTTATAAATCATAGGGCAGTGGATAAAGAACATCTAACAGTTATAACATTAACCACTAAATAAATAAAAAAAATTTCTATTAAAAAAAAAATAATTTTCATGTCGATTTAAGTAAGTCCTTATCAATTTAACATCTAAGATTATTGTTATTTTAACTACACACAGAAAAGAGGACCAGGTTCAACTTGGTATCATCATGTAAGCTTACACGTATAATTTTTACAATTAAATAATGTAAAATAGATATGGAAAATAAAATATGATATATGGCGTTATATGGTAAAAATGAAATTTCATCATTT